AGAGAGAGAAACATCAATGGTGAGAGAGAATCGATTGGCTGCCTCCTGCATGCCCACACTGGGGATTGAGCTGGCAACCCATACATGTGCCCTGACCAAAAATGGAAGCATGACCTCCTGGTTCATAGGTCGATGTTCAACCACTGAGTCAAGCTGCCCTGACTAAAAAGCTCACTTTCAACTGGGTCTTGCTTAATAGAGAAACTAGATGCTTTCTTCCTTAAAGCTATAATCCCAAATTAAAAGAGGCTGTCTTCTTAGATGCAATCATTTAGCTACAGAAATAAAATGTTTGGAGATACACAAAAATATATAAATTGTTTTGGAAGTCTTATCTAGTTTCCTATAGAAAAGAAGTTTATAGAAATCTCTGTTTTTTTTGTTCTTTAATCTCATGTCCTTCCGTTCCACTATCTATTGACAGAAATATATGAAGGCAGAGAGACATGAGTGTATTAACACAGTTATCAAGTCAATTAGTTGTAAGGGATAAGCCCATTTGAAATGTGGTTGCCTCATGGAATGCTTTGCTGTGGAGTTCACGGTAAGGATTCCAAGGTCCTTGTCTGCAGTGGTTGGAAATTGGAATTAATACTTTTTCAAAAAAGTCAACCACACCACATTTATTACCAAGTCAGGTCAAATTTCATTGCTTCTGTCTAAATGTCACTGTAAGACATACAGCACAAAGAGCAAGTTCAATGTGATTTCTGGAGTAAGTTACAGAGTTAAATGGAGGTCCATGAGCATATTAAAATATTCCTAACCAATTTCATTGAAGGATTAGTTGGAGCATTATATGGAGGTGGGTTTAATTGTGTCTGTAATGACCTTAGCTATGCTTTTTTTTTTTTTTTTTAAAAAAGCAGTTGGTACAAAGGAAGGAGCTCAAGTTTATATACATGTTTGTATTTTAGAGTAACAACTTTTCTGGACATTAAATAAACTGAATTGTAGTTAAAATTATTAAACAAAATATGTGATGAGATTTAGAAAAAAAATACTGTTAATAAAATAAAAGTTATACTTTTATTGGAGGCTATATAGTAGGTTCTCTCCCCTTACCTTATATATGTTAATCACCCAGTTTCACAATGCCAGGTAGGCATTATTATCACTACAGCCATTGTACAGATGAGAAAACTGAGGATTAGAGAAATTCAGAAGTTTACTCAAGGACTCAAAGCTCCAAAGTGGCCATGTTGTGTCAGATCTGCCTTATTCTTTTGTCTATGGTCTTAAATTCTGTTCAGTATTAACCATCTGATGCAGAAGAAGAGCGTTAGAGTCAGTGCCCATAGATGTCTGTATGTTTTGGATGTCTTCAAAGTTGGAGTGGTCTGTAGGACTGTGAGAGTTAGGGAAAGTTGGTAATCGGGGGTTTGATTCCCATCACTTGTTCTATTATGGTGAGAAAAAGTGTACGATGTGGCAGACTTAGCAGACAGGGCTGGTGGCCAAAGGCCTGAGCAGCAGAGACGGATTAGCATTTTATTGGACCTGAAAATCCTCGGCCATGAAATGACAAACGAAGCACTCTATTATCTTTATAACTCAAGGCCTGCATTCTCTCACTGGGTAGTTCATAGATTTGAATAATGATTCTCCAGGGATTATTTATTACAGAAAATATTTGAAGACAGGAATAATTGAAGAGAGTCCAATTCCTTTTTGATCAAAGCTATGGGATAGTAGATGACAAAGAAGTTATAAGAAACAACCACTTGGAAGGATTTCCCATTTTGCAATCTGCTGGTCAGCTCAGCCCCACACCTCTGTGCTGCAGAGAATTGGGGCCTTTGCCATGATTTGGAAGAATTTCAATCAATTAGTCACCTTTTATGTGTTAAAATTTTAATTTGGCTTCTATAATTTTAGCCCCTATGGGTTTTGTTTTTGCAATAAGGGTTTCCCAAGGGCTTTTTGTCCAATTAAGGCTTTGCCATTTAAATTTTCACCCCTACATCCTATCAAAATATGCTAAAATTTAAAAATCCTTGTTTTTAGATATCATCCTCTCTTTTCTCCTTATTACAAATGTAACAGTTTCTCACTGTGGAAATTGTAAACATACTGATAAGTGAAATGAAAAAGAGAATCTGTAATGCTACTCAGATATAACTTTCACTTTAACAAATAGCCTTTCCTACTTTTATCTATGAGCTTATACATGTGTAAAAAATAAGGCAAAGGAAGAAATGCAATCATGATATACACATTGTTTTGAAATATGCTTTTTTGCACTCAATATATCAGAAAACATTTTCTAAGCAATGTGCAAGTAGAACATCTTGTTTAAGCCTGCATAGTAGCTCTTCCACAACCACTGGACTACCAACCAATTTCCATTTTATATGATACTGTAATGAATATCTCTGTAAGAAACTTTGTACACTTGTCCAGTTTTTACTTAGAATTAATTCTTATAGTTGTAATTGCTGGGCACAAGGGCATATACATTTTACTTTCATTATTATCATTTTTTAAATCTTCACCTGAGGATAATTTTTTCCATTGATTTTCAGAGAGAGTGGAGAGCGGGGGCGGAGAGAGAGTAGACAGAGAGGAGAGAAATAGAAACATCGATGTGAGAGCGACACATTGATTGGTTGCCTCCTGCACATGCTCTGACTAGGGGCTGGGGATTGAACTTATAACCCAGGGGGATATACCCTTGACCAGGAATTGAAACACTGACCTTTCAGTGGGCAGGCTGATACTCTAACCATTGAGCAATCCTGGCCAGAGCTACATTTTAAAATCATTGGAAATATATTTTCCTCCAAGAATAATTTAACAATTTGTATTTCACCCACGGAGTATGATATGCCCACCTTCTCCACATCAAGTCTAATATTAGGCAGGAGCCTTTTGAATTTATAGGTTGAGGGGAGAAGAGTTCATTGCTTCAAATACTGATTTGAATGATTTTTCTGTGTTACCAATTCTTATACTTTGTTTCTTCTTGGGGGGAAGAGAAGTTTTATTTATTATTCATTTATAGCCATATTTTGGGCTTTAACTCTTTGTTGTAAATGTGATAACTACCTTCTTCCAGTTGTGCCTGTTAATACGTATATAATGTTTCTTTTTCCCTTTGAAAGTTTTGAATGTTTATGTAGTCACAGCCATCTATTTTATGTGTATGATTTCTGCCTTTGGTATTAGATTTAGAACAAACTTCTTGATCTAAAATAATATAATTATTCAACTATATTTTCTTCCAGCACTTTTATGATCTTCTCTTTTTAAAAAATATATATTTTATTGATTTTTTTACAGAGAGGAAGGGAGAGAGATAGAGAGCTAGACACATCGATGAGAGAGAAACATCGATCAGCCGCCTCCTGCACATCTCCTACTGGGGATGTGCCCGCAACCAAGGTACATGCCCTTGACCGGAATCGAACCTGGGACTTTTCAGTCCCCGGCCGACGCTCTATCCACTGAGCCAAACCGGTTTTGGCAATCTTACTTCTCTTAACATTCTACTTTTTCAATCTATCTGGGATGTACTTAATTAGGAAATAATTCATTTTAATGGGCCTCAGTAATAGTTGAGAGTTTGAAGAAGAGATTGTTAAAAGACTCTAAGTAACTGTTAATATGACCAAAAAAATCAGATTAAAAAAGGGCCAATTGGCAGAGCAAATAAATCTAGAGTAGATCATAATTTTACTCTTATTAAGGCAAATACTTAGATATTTCACGTATGTAGGCCGCATTCCATCAAGGGTTAGAGGTGGCAGCCTTTTCTGTTTCTTTGCCTCTCTGCCTTTCACCGGAGGGCTGGTCCTGGGTCTTTCTGAGCTTTTGCATTTGTCAGTCTTTCTTCCTGCCTCTCTCTCCCCATTGGGACTGTTGACTGTTTTGGGTTAGCTGTATGGCTTTCATCAAACTGCTTAGTCTCTCTCAGCATCAATTTTTCCTATCCATAAAAAAAGAAGGTTGAACTAGGTGATGTCTCTGATTCCCTCCAGCTCTAAGTTGCTCCGTGATGTACAACCTCTTCCTCTGTACTTATATGTCTCCATCTCTATATTTGCGTAAATTACTCTCAATTTGCCCTAAATTTCCTTCCCTTCCTTTTCCTTCATTGCACTGCTGCCTAACTTTTCCTCCTCCTCTTAATTGACCGTAACAGATGACTGAAGTCTAATTTGCATTTGTTGCCTCCATTAAATAAAGTTTTGTACTCTCTCTTTTTAATTTATAAAGCAGATAAGTGGGATGTCATTTCTCTTGAAAGAAAAACTGAATAAATGATGCTCTTTTCTTACTTAGATGGCCTCTGATTTATTAAATCAGTCAGTGAGCTGGAAAGTACTTTTACTGATTTAGTCCATATGAAGAAAAATTTGTTTGTGCTGAAATGGTCATTATATATTATGCAAAAGATGTTAATGCATTAGAACCCATGATAATTATTTGGGTTTAACTCATGTGCTCTA